TACTAAAAGGGTATAGTAGATCTCGTAATGTCATAAGGGATTCCCAAATGGTATCATGATTAATTATTGTTTTAATATCATCCGTAAGTTGTAATTTGTCATCAAAAACTAGATCGTCTTTGGCATCGAGAGTCTGTTAAATAAGATTTATTTAGTTAAATTATATAAAAATTTAATATTCTAATTATATCTTACCCTACCCATTCTAATTCCTTTGAGTATAATTAAAATATTACTAATATATCTATTCTAATTATATTCAGAGATTAGAATAATTGAGGTAAGATATTCTTAGACATAATTAGAATAGGTAAAAAATATTTATTTAAATTAAAAAAAATATACCTTTAGTACAGATTTATTTTTTATAATGCTATCAAAGCATTTAAAAAAGCTATTCCACCTTACTAAGCACGGTGTAATAAAATTAATATTTTTTTTCAATATACTTAATTGTTCATCACGCAATTTAGCAGTAAAATATACTGAATGATGAAAGAATGTAACTATTCGAATTGCATTTTTACTTGTATTTTTAAATAAAAGAGACTCCTTAAATAGTTCACCAATACAACAGTTTGCCTGATGGGCAAACATGGAATAAACACCTTATCACGCATTTCATTTCTCAAATAACGTCTAGCTGCAGCATATGCACCAGCGGAATCAGTTACAAGACAGTTCGCTTTTATATTTAATTCCTCAGCTTCTGCAAAAAGAGCACGAATCCTAGAAATTACTTCTTCTTGCCGTTGTCTTTCCCTACTTATATCATCAGCTCTCCAAATTAAAACTTCCTCTGAAGATGTAATGAATACTATTCCCATTATTTCTTGTTTTACTATATTACACCAACCATCAAAAGTGATTGTGACTCCAATTTTGTCTTTACTGGCAAGTTCCATAATTAATTCTTGTAGTTCATTCACCGCACTTGTTAAAATACGATTGCTTAGAGATTTTCTATCAGGCAATTTTAAAAGTGGACTAATAAACTGAAATAATGCTTTAACTTCAGGATTTTCAATCCACTGAAATGCCAAGCCAGCTGAAACAGTAGCACGAAGTAAAAGATGCTCAAATTTAGGGATCTCTGAAGCGTTAAGTGGACGTCCAATATATTGTAATACCTTGGTTTGTTTTTTTTTAGGAATAGAAGTTGATGTTGAAGACGAATTAGCAGGTGAACTATCAAAATTTACTAATGAATTAGAAGAGATATTCTCTTCAACTTCATCTTCGTCATCATCTTCATCGCTTAAAGACTTTGCATGTTTTTTTGGTAGTACTGCTAAGGTAAGAATAGCCTCTATTTGTTCTGGTAAATATTTTGCCGCAAAAAAAGAATATTCTCTTATATGATTAGCACAGTAACGTCGGGTATTGGTGAGTTTCATGCTTTCATCATTCAAAGCAACATCCTTTCCAACTGCTTCCATACAGGCCCGGCAAATACATTTTTTATTACTTTTATTTGCCCATTCATTTGGCAATATGTAAAAATATTCACTAAGTGGATGCTGTGGTTTTCCTCCTTTATGTCCCATTAATGTTATCGTTATAAAAAAATTTTAACGACAAAAACAATCAAAGTTATGTCCAAACTTGTATATAAATATAATTTATAGACTAATCATTATTAGTATAGTACGCGGTGGTTTAATTAGTTTCCATTGTTGGAAAAATATCGCCATCTTTACAATTTAAAACCGGAATAGTATGCAATTTAATTAATTTCCATTATTAGAAAAAACATTGTTATTCATACAATTCAACATGTGCAAGGCTCAAGTTCATATGCTTCTTGATGGAGTTGACGAGCTATGTAACAGATTCAAGAAGCATAAATGAACTCTAACTTTGTATATATAAAAGAACTTAATTTGTTAAGGCTATATGTTGTGGGATTAATTAAAGAGCGAATTTCTTCAAAATCTTGCTCAGTCGGTTTGATTAGGTAATTGTTTATTTCAGCAAAAGCCAAGTTCGACTTTTGCTATGACCTTATACTAGACGTATTCCAACGTTCATTCCTTCATTCACACCTTGCCCCTTCACTTACTCACGTCTCCAACCTTAAATCTTGAAGGTATCACAGTGCTGCAAGTTTGGCTTAGGTATTTTATTCTAGAACTAACAGAAATAGAGATTCGATTTTCAAGATTGAACCTCATATTTATTTAATTTGTCTTGTGCGATTACATCATCATTTTGCTAACAATAGGCTTTATAGTGCCTTGATAAAGTTGCGTCATTCGCATAACCTTATTACTAATTATAACATCGATCAAT